ATCTTTTTCAGTATTCTTGCAGACGACATCACCGTGGTCCGAATAGTTTTACTTCTCTTTCGAATTCCTTAAATCTTTCAATCTCGATTTTACATTTTTGTGGCACGGATCTGTGTACCGAGTTTAATCTTCATGTTTCATTTTTTTCTCACTTCTCGGCTGGGGTCCTGGAATGTTTTCTAATTTGCACTTCCTGCTTTTTACTTTCCTCGTGGTTTGTTGGTAAAGTCACGTCCAATATCAAGGAAATCTTCTCATATCTTCACCCTGTAGTCCACTTCCATGTCCGCCTCCATGTCTAAGTCCCCGGGTGATTTCTTTTTAGATTCTACAATTTCGAATTTGTGCTGAGCTTCTTATAATTTCTTTTGATTTCTTGATAGAATCATTTCCTAAGTTTTTCGCACGAGACCTAAGTTAAAGGAAGATTTTTCATAAGATGTTATTGAAAATACTTTTCTCCGAGTAAGTACGGGAGAGAGCGCATTAGCAAAACATTTTCTATACAGCATACTACTTTCACGACTTCTTTATAAGCGAGTCAGTCAATTAAATGCCGTACATGATTCACGCTTGGCTGATCGTGTCTCTTTCGATTCATAACTGGCTATGCAGAAGATTATCTTACAGTAGCTTTCCGTTTCTTTCTGCGCCAGAATAGTTGTCAACCAAGACTATATGACGCAGTCTACCCCGCTATTTAACCCATAGCGATTCGTGCCTATTTAACTTGCCCTTTCTTCTTCTTCTTCTTCTTCTTACATTCTCTTTTCTTTTGCAGTCACGTATATTTGTTGTTATTTTTTTATCTTTTACTTCTTTTTCCTTTTCTTTTTGTTCTTTCAAATTCCAGCTCTTGTTTCTTTTTGACCTCTTTCTTTCCCATTTTTGTTTTTTAATTTCCTGTCCCCATCGCTTCCTCTTTTTCACTTTTATCCTTTTTCCATTTCATCATTTTCTTATTCTTTTTCTCTCATTTGGCTTTCAAATATTGCCTTTTTCTCATTTACTTTCGTTGAGACCGACTTGTCAATATATATCTACATAAACACCCCCCGACACACACACACACACACACACACACACACACACATATATATATATATATACATATATATATATATATATATATGTGTGTGTGTGTGTACACGTATGTGTGTGAGTACATGCCTAAGTGTATGGACCTACTTGTATATGTTATTGTTTGTATTAGTATGTGTTTTTGAATATAGAAATATTTGGTCCTTGCTAAATTAGACAATCGTTATATTCATCTTCATATATTTATATTTGATTTCTAACCTGTAGTCGATATTAATTTGTCAAATTTTCTCAATTACAAAGCGGCCCTTTAAGTAAAAACAATTTTATTTTCCTTCGTCCCATCTCTCTCCCCCACCTCTTCTCTTTCTTTTTCCCCACTACCTCCTATCCTAACTTCTAATTGTCTATGCTGTGTGTATGTCACCACGAAATGTATCTTTATGCATTAGACATCCGTCGACTTTCTTTCTCTCCTCTTTTCAATTCCCCCCCCCACATCTCCTAGAATTCTCTCTGTTAAAGTTTCATCTCCCTCCTCCTCATACTTACACTTTCTCTAAATTCTGTTTTGATTTCCGGAGTTGTTTTTTCTGTTTTCATTTTGAATTTGTAGGTCTGATGATTTGGATCGTATTTACGATTCCAATGGAATAAATTATGACCATGGAATATTAGTGTTTAAGCCTTTTTATTATATATATATATATATATATATATATATATATAGGTATAAGAAACTACACTCATTTGGAAAACCTTCGGTGTCTTGATTTGCAAATAATCAAATCAATACCAAAGGGAAAAAAGTACAAAAAAGAAAGAATCAAGAACATGTACGTTAGCCGAAAATAATCGTCCAGCATGCAAGTTCAAAGCCCAAAGAAAAAAACACCTGATATGAGTAGGCAAAACAACTAAATAAAGTGCTCAATACGGTAAGTAGAGCAGACTTAGTTAAACTTAGAGAGTTATTAGTTTCATTATTTTCATGAAAGCGGATCGTCAGGGAAGGCTGGCTTCCCTGACGACCCACTTAGGTGAAACCATTGGTAGTTTTGTCTGGATCTCTAGATTTACCATATCTATGGATTAGCATTTATATTTTTGAAGTCTTTTGTTATCATACTTGGTCTATTGGCTTCTATGTAGGAATCGTGAAATCCCAGAGAACTGTAACAATTTCAGCTTCTTGCACAGGAGAGTGTTTGTGTTCATAAGCATACGAGGACTGATCAAAAAGTATCGGGACCGGTATTATAAAATGAAAACTACAACACGTATCGATTCTACATTTAATCTCCTTCGAAGAAGTCGCCTTCGGAAGCCAGCGTCGTTTCCATTGATGGTATTGTTCTTAGAACTCCATTTTGGGGATAACGAGCAGTTGCCACATCGCGTTCTCTTGGAGTTCGTCAAGTCTTGGAATCTGGTTCCTTTCAGGTGGGATTTGGTTTTTGGAAAGAGGAAAAGGTCGTAAGAGGAAAATTTGGGGAATATGCGTTGAATGTGCAGGTGAGTTGTCATGAAAGAGTTATCATTTACCGTTCGCACGTAATTCTGTTCTTTGCCGATGAACAGCATCCCGATAACGCCACAACACTTTACGGTAATAATCCTTGTTTAGAGCATATTCGTGGTGCCGTTGTAGTTGAAGAAAAACTGTCAACAGTCACATTGCATCGACTCGGTCTTCGATCTTGACAGGGGTTAGGGTCTTCGAAGTTTGAGCCTTGATTTTGAGGTCATAGCCACAGACACACAATACGTCACGGCTTATGGTGATTTTCTAAGCGTAGCCGGAAGTATGGGGAAACCAGTGAGGATCGAACTCACTATTCAGTCATAATTGATTTAGCGAGAGAAGCTTGTGAACCATTACACCATGTCGAAGTGACGCAATTCGTCACATGTTATAAAAAAGTTTTCTATGGTGTGATGTGACGACCATACTCTAAACATTTTCCTTCCAAGCATTGCCAAAAACAACGGAAGTGAGCAAGAACGTCATTAATTAGTGTGCATGCGCAATAGAATTCAAGGTCAATCTGTGCCAAGCGACTTCCTGTTGCATATTTTAGTTCCGTTACCATAACAACAGTTCCGATAATTTTGATCAGTATTTCTGTATGGAGACATTTATAATGTTGGCATATCTTCCCAAGCAGGTATTCTATTATGTTCATATTAAATTTATTTGCTAAAAGCGTAGAGCACCCAGATATAGGGCCAATTATTATTATTATTATTATTATTATTATTATTATTTATGCGAGAGAGCAGTAAATCCATAAAGTGATATTGGGGTACAAATATCAGTCAGTTATGGGCAATACGTGATGTACGCTTAGGTGATTATGTATCTTTCGATACATGACTGATGAGGCAGATTTTTCCCGCAGTAGGTTGCCATTTCTTTCTCCGGCAGAACAGTGGCCATCCAAGGCTATAGAACCCGGCTTCCCATCTATTTATCCATAGCTGGGGAGTATTCATACATTTCGCAAGTGAATATAATGGATTCGAATAGAATTTGAACTCTCCGATTCCACAATCCGAGCCGCTATCCATTGCTCCACCATGCCTCCACGGTACAAATATACGAAACCCATTATACCCATCATGATACCCAGTCTGATAAGTGCATACCAAGTATATGCATCACAGCCAAATGTCCGCAATATGGTGTCAGTCTTTTATAAAATCAGTGCATAACCTCGTAGATGAGGCCCAATTAGAAATACGTTGAATAAGACAGTCTCAGATTGAGGGCGTGCCACAGTACTTGTGACTCCCAGTTCGCTTTTGGTTGCATCCTCTTTCAAAATCATTTCGATACTGGTCTTAATTCTTCCCAACTACCGTGGTTCATAGACAAAAATCCACAGCGTGTCAATCCTCAGGGAACATACTCAACTCGTTAAAATCAGAAAAGTGACAACCATATCTTACTCTTTTTTCTATTTTAGTTAACGTGTTTATTCTTTTTCTATCCGAATGCAGGAGGTTTGTTCCCAGGAAATGTTCCGGATTATTCCAAGAGGGATTTGCAGAGTATTAATATGGTCTCTGGGTACTATTGACCAGTCTTTCGTTTTGTAGACTGTTCGTTTACTGATTTGCATATGTTGTCATTTACCTTAACCTTATACATTTGATATCAGACGCTTTAAGATTGGATGTGGGGGTGGTGTAAGGAATAATGGTTCGGAATTGTTAATCGGAAAGCCGAGTTCCAATTCCAGTTAGGTTCGATATATTCACTTACGTGCAAAATGACAGAATCATGAACAGATTTCCTAATTCTGCCAAAACAATGCACACCTCATGATGGTCAAAAAACTATGGACATTAATACGGAAATGTATAGTCCCCTGTCACTTCCAACTCTTAATAGTAGGTCAACAAATCCTGTACAGCCTTGTCAAAATTTTAGTTTACTTATGAAAGATTTACTCTCTTAGATGTTTTAGTTTGACTAAGAAATATGCCCTGTCTTATAGCTCAAAAACTAAAGTGTTTCACAAACAAAGCTAAAGAAATGGTTAGGTTGTGAAAAGAAAATTGATCAGTACCAAATAATAACTAACATCACAAAGGCAAAACAAATCACAATAATGGACAGATATACCATTTCAGCCAAAACAGTGGACACCTGATGATGGTCGGAGAATACTTCGCCAAAACGTTGTGTCTGTAATAACATCCAAGATGGGAATAATAATATCAAAATAACTAAAGTATTTTGACAATTATTATCAAAATATAAAAGACAAAATTAACTAAATTAAAGAAAGTTATTTTTTATCCAAGATGTTATATTTAATTGATTTTTCTTAATATTAATAATATATTATTATCCTCATTTTTTGTTGTTTCTATACTGCATGGTTATGGATCAATAGACTTGATATTGAACAATAATAAAGTATAGAGAAAAACTAACACAAGATTCAAGGCTTGCAGCCATATCATGTTGAAATACTGGTTCATGTATGATCACTGAAGTTAAGCAATGTAGAGCCTGGTCAGTACCTAGATGAGTGACTGCTTGAGAATACCAGGTGCTGTAAGCTTCTATAAACTGACAATATCTAATTGATCTTTTTAATATTACTATGTCATTAACTTCATTTTTTATTCTTTCTATACTGCCTTGTGGACCAATAGACTTAATATTGAACAATAATAAAGTATAGATAAAATGTAAAACAAGATGCAAGGCTTACGGTTATATCACGTTAAAGCACCGGTTCTCGTAAAAGTTAAGCAACGTAGAGCTTGATCAGTACTTAGATGAGTGATCGCTAGGGAATACTAAAGATGCAAGACTTACGGCCATATCACGTTGTCACGTTGAAACACCGGTTCCCATATGATCACCGAAGTTAAGCAACGTAGAGCCTGATCAGTACTTAGATGAGTGATAACTTAGGAATACCAGGTACTGTAAGCTTCGATGTTCGTGTGGTTTAACGGATAACGACTCTGAAATGTTAATCGGAGTGCTGAGTTCTAATTCCCGTTGGGTTTATATTAACTTGCGCGTAAATAGCCGTTGGGAATGTTATGAATCCATCTCTCCTCTCCTCATGTAAAATTACAATTAAAAAATATTTTCTGGCTTTAAATAAATTGCAAAGAGTTGAAAAACCGTAGAGAATGAATGAATCAATCAGTCAATGTAGATTTGATCTTGAGTAAATTGAAACATGTAATCATTTATTTATTTTCTATTAATTTATTTGATACAGTCCAGCTAAGAGGAAACGTTCATGTAACGTTGATTATTTTGCTATACCTCATGCCATGAAAGCATTGAGCGTACGAGAGCTATCTAACAGAGTCTTGCCTGAGCGTCGGAACATTCCTCAGTGTCAGATGGTTTTGATAGAGGTCTTTGCGAACGAGAGCCATCTATCACGGTCTTGACTGAGCGTCGGAACATCCTCCAATACGAGATGGATCTCATGGAGGTCCTGGCGTACGAGAGCCATCTAACACAGTCTTGCCTGAGCGTCGGAACATTCATCAGTGCCAGATGGTTTTGATAGAGGTCTTGGCGAACGAGAGCCATCTATCACGATCTTGACTGAGCGTCGGAACATCCTCCAATACGAGATGGATCTCATGGAGGTCCTGGCGTACGAGAGCCATCTAACACAGTCTTGACCCAGCGTCAGAACATCCTCCAATGCCAGATGGATCTGATGGAGGTTCTGGCAGACGAGAGCAATCTCTCACGGTCGAGTGAGCGTCGGAACATCCCCCAGTGCCAGATAGATTTGATGGATGTCTTGGCGGACGACGTCCTTTCTGCGGCTGCGTTGTCTTCCGCGAAGTCATTTCCAGTCTGTAGATGGTGGGTTGAACTTGTAGATGACTTGTGGTAGTGATCATCAGGATCATCGGACGTGCTCGAGCTAGCGAACACGGCGCTGAGCGATGGTACAAAGGATTCTCGATTGGTCGGTCCTTTGACAGAGCTCCTCATTGGATACAAGCTCGAGCCAGTGCACCGCCAAGATTGTACAGAGAGGGCGGATCTCGAAGCTATTAATGCGGGAGGCGTAGGTCTCCTGGGTGGTCACATCTCGGCGCCGTATAGTAGCAGATAGAGAGGACGGTGGCGTTGTAAATTCGTAGCCACATTGGCCTCCAGAGGCCTCTTATGGCACCTGCAGCCAGCCCACGTCTTTTGTTGATCTTTGTAAGGAGGTCACCTGTCTTGGAAACTTCTGTGCCCAGGTGTACAAAAAACGTGATGAACTCGACTGGGATGCTGCTTTAAAAAATATCTAATATCCTTATTATTTCATTCACAATGCTAAGAGAAGGGTATACAGAATATACCACTGCAAAAAAGATAACATCATTAACAACAATAAACAAATACATAAGACTACCTACTAACTCCATAAAATTAACTATCCAAAACAATCTATCCAATGTAAACAACATCAAAAATAATTGTAACCATATCCCAAACTATTATGGATATTATCAGAACCAAAAATAGCCATAAAAATAATAATATTGAAGCAGGTAGGTATAAAATAAATTGATTTTCCTCACAATGCACTGGGGAAACTTGCAGAAATTGTAAAACAATATCTATGATTACAAAGGTGATTTTAAACACGGCAATTTATCAAATATATTAGTTATACATAGCAATAAATTCAACCACATCTTTTATATAAAAAATGTCACACTTATTAAAAGAGAAACTAACGGTAATGGATAGCGGCTCGGACTGAGGAATCGGAGAGGCAGGTTCGAATCCCAGTCGAATCCATTATATTCACTTACGTGCTAATAATCTTGGGAAAGTTAAGAATCCTCTTCTTCTCCCCCCTAGCTATGGCTTCTATAGACTTGGATGGCAACTGGTCTACTCTAGAAAAAAGATACATGATCGCCTAAGAGTATATCACGCATGGCACATAACTGATTGAAATTACTTAAAATAAAAATTCTCAAGAGTGATGTTATCGAATTTTATCAAATTATAAATCTACGTCCCGGATATTTTCCAATATTTCTATTCCTGAAGGAATTCTTACTTTCTCGAGGCAAGATGAATAATTACAAAAATGTTAAAAAATTGAAAGAAAACAATTAAAACCTTAACCACATGTTATTCAAACTATATAGCGCACAAATTAATTCCAAACTGAAATAATTTGAATACTAATTTGCATATAAAGAATCAATAATTCATATTCAGTTATTAGACATTGAATTGTATCACTTCGTGTCCTCCATAGCTTGCCTGACGTGTTTTTTTTTTGTTTTTTTTTTTAAGCTGATGAGTATTTATGAGCGTGTCTAAACTTAAAAATTTTGAAAAATCAATAACATTTTTGCTCTTGTATGTAAATACTTGCTAGAAAATAAAATTCTTGATAAAGTCCCATATAGGACAAAAGGCGGCGGCCAAGATAAGTTTTCATTTTGTCTTTATTTAGGCTGCAATTTTACAGATTATATTCTCTCTGTAATGTTGCACACAGAGATGCGCACGAACGAGACACGCTGAGAATTTTACATTTTAAAATATTTTTTTTTAACATGTGTTTTGGCGATGTAATCTATCCGATTTAATTTATATACTTTTTCTTTTCGTTTCCACCACTTATTTTCTTATTAAATATATATATATATATATATATATATATATATATATATATATATATATATATATATATATTAAATTACGATAAACGTGCAATCAATTTAAATTACGATTATTCACACAAAAACTAATGCAAAGGTTAATGATTTAAATGGCGAGACATCATCATCGCAAACAATTCAAATAATATACAAAAACCTCCTTATCCGTTATGAATGAAATGATCCTTGTTTATATATTTCTGCCGTATTAGTTCTTATTTTACTACAAGCTTTCGTCTGTTCTTACAGACATCTTCAAGTATAGAATAGATGTTGTTCTTGTTTTTTCTCTTAGTAATAAGAGGACAACGAAAATATATGTATTGTTGTATCCGAAAATGCTATTGAAAATGAGTTATTGTTTTTGAACGCGCAAAAGCAACGCTGAGTTTGAAATTTATATAAACAAGGATCATTTCATTCATAACGGATACGGAGGTTTTTGTATATTATTTGAATTGTTTGCGATGATGGATGTCTCGCCATTTAAATCATTAACCTTTGCATTAGTTTTTGTGTGAATAATTCATGTATATATATATATATATATGTGTGTGTGTGTGTGTGTGTGTGTGTGTACGCATATGTGCATGTGTATGTGCATATATGTTTACGAGGTTCTGTTGTCACCTTCCGAGTATTTATTTTTAGCATTTATTCAACGATCTTTTGCTCACAAAATGAAAACGTCAGCACAACCTTTAGTTTATAAACGAATTTTTAGTAGCCGCTCATATACATATATATATATATATATATATATATATATATATATATATATATATATATATATATGTGTGTGTGTGTGTGTGTGTGTGTGTGTGTGTGTGTGTGTTTTGTGCGTATGGGAGTTATGTATTTGTGTGTGAGAGGAGGGTGTATATGTGTGTGAATCTATTATGATTCTTAACATCCGACCTCTTGCAGCGATTTTCCATATAAAAGGGAGATATCTCCGTTTGGGCACTTCGACTTGGTGTAATAGTTTAGCAGGCTTGTCTCGCTAGATCATATACGACAGAATGGTGAGTTCGACCCACACTGGGTGTCCCATACTTTCGGACTTGTGCCACATCTAATTTATGCTTCGAAAAACACTGAGAATTATCTCCCTTTTATATAGAAAATCGCTGCAAGAGGTCGGATGTTAAGAATCATAATGTGGTGTAATGGTTAGCAGGCTTGTCTCGCTAGAACAATTACGAATTAGTAGTGAGTTCGATCCTCACTGTGTGCCCCATACTTTCGGTCTTATGCTACATCTAAGCTAGGCTTAGAATATCAAGGGCCCCTCCCTACGGGACGGGCTCCACATACCCGATTTCTCCGGAGGAATTGGCAAGGGAAGAGAAGTGGTTATTTGCCGTCGGAGTAGATGCTGCGGTTGTAGTATCTGATCCGTGCCGGAGTCCTTCTCTCTTCCCTTGAGTCCCCCCTACCGTTGCGTGACATCTGTTACGTAGCGGTGGTATGACCTGCTTAGACAAGCTAAGACCAGCTTAGATCACGTTAAAAACCGACCTTGTGTCACAACCTGACTTAGTATTGAGGTAAATCTCGGAAGATAACTCCGTAAATGATCGTTGATTATAACTCCAAGATCCAATTCTAAAGCGAAACAAACCACAATAATTACAAACACCGCAAATCCACTGGGATACCGCATATGTTTTTTCTTACAAGATTATGAACTCTCACGTCGATTTCGACGTATGCGGCCTCAATTTTCCTTCATTTTGGCAATGAACAACCAGATTACCAATACATTGGCGTACTAGGTACGAGGTTCAATTTTCAGTAGAATTAACAACAAAGAACTGACGCAGATAGTCTTCAAACAGCCTTTCAAGGGTTTGAATTTAGGGTTTCCTCTTCTCCTAGACTTGCTGCTATCCAAGGGGGGAAAACTCAGTCTTCCCTGCTATTTAACAAAATGAAGAATTGTAACTTTCCAAAAGCATTTGCGCGAAGTAGTATCGACTGGAATTTAGAACTCGGCTCCCCGATTCGACTTTCCGTACCAAAAACAGTTGCACTATCAGCATATCCAGCGTGAAAAAAGGCATCGTCTTGTCCTCACTTGGCAGGTTGGCGCTATACTATCTTATATATACTATTCTTCCATTTGGCTCTCCCAAGAGTAATAAAGTCTATTTTATTTACTATTTATTTATTTCTTCCCTCAACAGAAGTAGATAGGTTCGGGTACTGTCACATTCGAGTACCCAACTCCTTCCCGTAAAGGTTTTTCTCTGGTTCCCTGTTTAGCATTTGG